AGTCATCAGCCTTCATTCTAATATATATATATATATATAGTTTAACTGGAAGGCCTGTTGGAAAGCTACGGAAGTAAACGTTTCTCGGAGTGCACAACAAAGAGATGAGTAAGGACAGTGAAGTTGGTGAACCTCCCATTCCTTTGATAGAGCCAAACCGGATTGAACCGGTCACCCATGTGGCACGTTTATTCCTCAAGCCTACACTCACAAGGGGTCAGGTCAGTCGTTACCCTCAAAACGTTTAGGTTTGAGGACCTGTTCACCAACTGCTTCATTTGATAGTAGAACTAGCTCTTTATGCCAGCGTCCGACAAAGACTTGTTGCCGCAGACGGCTATCATTTGAAGCCCTTTAAAACAAACCACTGAAATCCTCGACGGTGAATAAATCTACATTCAACAAAGTCATTTGGGGCACGTGAAATGCCGTGGCGCAGTCAGTTAAAGGCGTTTGCTCAGCGGATCCAAAAGTTGTGTTTGCAAAACTTGGGTCTCCGGAAGATAGTCAATGTCCGATCGACAACTTTGAAGAATCCACTCGCAGATATTTTGACTGACAGCCTTAGGTAGGACGTTAATAGTTCCGAAACCAATAAGCATTCCTTGCACATAAAATCTCCATTCGCTTTGATTTCTTGTGACTGAATTCGCTGGGCAATCAAAGGACGCGTCAGTTTACGCTCTCACCAATGCGTGATTGGAGAGATTTTCACTGACGTTTCATGGTGAATCCTCATAGGTTGCATACCAGCGACACTTGGCCTTTGATAGAGAGTATAACCCTACCCTATTTCGCAACTGAGTACAAACCGCAAAGCGGCAGGAGTCGTTCAGAGGCCAGAGAATTGGCAACTACAACGTGGGCGCTAGGACACGATTAACCGTTGTTGCTTAACGCTCTTGCCGGTGTATTTTTTTCGCCATCCGGGTCCAGCCACCTACCGTAATAGGTAGGTAACCAACGGGCCATCATACATATTACAACATCTGATATCTACCTTTGTCTCAGGCAACAACACCAATACCAGACGTTTGCAGACAAGAATTCTTCGGCACGAGTCATGTGTTAGCGGGTTATATGGAAGTATGACATTACCAGTTTATGGAAACACCGCCCCCATCATTCAGAGGCGCTGCGTGCATGCATTTCGTGATTCCTTGTGTACAAACCAAATCGGATATGGCACTTGGTCATAGTGATATCCATCAGTATCGTATACCAGTTGAACGTGTTGGTTTTTGGTATCTTGTGTGTAGCCTAATCTATTCCCACCAATAAGTATTTCTTTGCGATAATTTCTAAAGTCACCACCCCATGCCCAAGTAAAACAAATCACATGAATCTAGATTTTCGTGCGGTAATTCTGACTTCCGGAAGATTTTTTTTCTACCAGATGATTGATACATAGCTCACATAATCTTTCCAATTATTATTCTCCATAGGTTTCATCCCAGTCCTTTTATCTCAGGGTTATCTGGGACTGTAACTTGTCTGAAAAGTTTCCACTATCACGCAAGGACAATACCGTCCAGCCGAACGTGATCCTTTTCCCATCTTTTGCTCTAGTACAAGCATAGGCAGAACAAAAGAACAAAGTCAGGGCAGCGAATAAACGTCTGTGGTTACAATCGAACAGTAGTAGGCGAGATTGGTAAACTGGTTTGAGACTGATGATTCGCGTGCGCTCTACGCATTTGGATATACAGCGCTTAGGTTGGTTTAAAAATAGTCCTTCTAATGTGACTCATTATGGTATCAGTACAAACTGTCTCTGTTTTATGATAAATGAGTGATGTGGTACGCGACTCTTTAACCTCATTTGCGCTAATCAACTCAAACCATGAAAACTGTTTCCATGGCATTCTTTGGCACGGTGGTGCGCTAGGAACAAAAAAAGAGTGCGCATCAAACTAAGTGCACGATGTCCTTTTTCACCCATTAGATCTGCACAAACAATTCAGAAGTGAATGAAATCGTCAGAAGAATACAAACATTGGATTTTCTTCGCCTGTCCACAGAGCTGTTCGGCCAGGTGACCATTGCGATCGACAGCCTGTAGTTGAATTCTGCCGGAGGTATGATTGCTTTGCAATTGTTACGGAAATTCTTGTGTTTAACCTACTAAATTGGAAATCTGAGACATAATAGTCCTGCGAAGCTCTCGGCTATCTCCTTCTTAGGTGGTGGCAAAATGGGGCTGAAAACATTCCATACTTTGAGTATGGACAAATCTTTTGAACTCATCTGACAATGTGTTGGAGTGGGTTTCGTCTGATGGTCGAATATTTGGCTACTTGAACTGGCTGGTCGCCGCGGTTCGAAATAAGCTTACACAAGGGAATGACCGCAGCGCCTGCATAACTGGAAGCTCTCTGACCTGAACCTGACATTCAACACGTCTTAACCTTGATGAAAATGTTTGCATATACGAAACCCCTCAGTGGGTTGGCTTAGCCAGCACCAAAGTGAAGCCGTTTGAACGTGTCTTGTTTTCTACGTAGATCGGCAATTTTGTTCAGTTCCCGGCCGAACTGGATCTTACAGCCTGGTAACTGACGCGCAAAAGACGAGCCACGAGCAACCAGCCTACCGGCATCTCTCAAATCCAATGTTGCTTGCGTCAAAAATAGCTAAAAAGAGCAACGTGAAGATGCTGTGGACAATTAACCCAAGATTTTCCGGTACGTTTTAGATGGTACCTGGTGGCATTCTTATTAGCTGTTATTTAAAACTCTCTGATTAGTTCCTCAGTTAGAGAACCGCTAAATAAACACGATAGACGGAGGCGATCTAAATGCTTGAAAGCACCGATAAACACCGGTAACGACTAAACTAATCACTGTTCCCCACATAAAACAAGAAGGAAATTCGGGTTGTAAGTGCAGTGAATCGCAAGTCTCTCCGTCTTATCAATCACAAGAGACCATTCAATAAAACGGGTCAGTTACCGTGTGGAGGTACAAACAGCATAAGGTTATCAAAGACCGCTTCGTGATCATTTTAGGGAAGTTCTCAACGCCGAAACCTGATGAAATTTGTGCTGACGAATGCGGTTTCAGAAAAACTTTGTCATCAAACATTGATGAAACCTAGTTGTCGAAGTCTGAATTCAGTTTCCACATAATGGATAAAGTGCACCTCGGAGCTTCCAAACCCTGGATTCACAAGGACTACCTACCAGGAGTGCTCGCTTTTGCAAGTGTTGTTTGGAGATAAATCTCTTTTCGGGCCATCCTTTATATTGCTTAGTCACCGAGCGTCTGTTCTTCCGAAATAAGCGTTTCAACGTTGAGTTCACTGACGCCTAACCTCTGTTACAGAAAAACATGGCATTCTTGTTTAAGGTACCATCGAGTGGCTTGCGACAAACTTTGCGTGACTAATTTCACAGTGTCCACGCGAAAGACAGAGACTTGCTTTCCACCGAATCACACTTGCATTTCTGATGTGTTATCTTCTGTTGTGCAGTGACAAACTGGCTGCTGGCTTTCAAAGCTACCCAAAACTCAACAAAATATAAACAAACATTTCATTGAATACTATATTGAAATCATCATTGAACCACAAAAACCCAACCATAATAAAAGCTCTACTATTGTCAAGGTTACTCAGGTGGTAGTGAAGCAACAGGACAAGGTCTCTTACTCAAAAGATAACCAAATATCCACACATGTTGGAGGTGAGCGTAGTCATATGTTACGCCTCATAGCACCATGGATGAGGACAGAACAGGCTTGGATTGGGTAATTACTTGGGAAGTCAGCAACATAAATACTATATTTCCAAGATCTGGCGCTACTCCTTTGTTCACGTGAGTCAGTTCACGTGGCTAATATTGACTGGCGCCTCGGTGTCGATTTTTCAGGCAGGAGGCACGCGCGTCTTGTGAGGCTACTTTCTTTTAAGGAAATAACTTCTTTTCTGTTATTAATTTGAATATATATTGGATTTTAATGAATATTTCTTTGGACAAGTGAAATGTTCACAGTGTTTCCCTACCAACCGGACAGTCACAGCTTCAAATCACCCTAGATATTCTTGAGACGGTACCGCATGGCAGTTTACGATATGGATGAAACTGTTTTTCAGTTATCCTCAATTTATCAGGACAAAATGGCTCCACTTAAAGAGGATTAATCGCTGGAAACCTTTCTAGAAAGCTAACTGAGACAACAATGGCGTGCAGAAAACTCGTTCCAGGATTTCCCAGGACGGGGTGTGCATTTAAAAAAATAATGCGTGGTCGTGCTCTGATTGGCTGGGCTTTGTGTAGAAAAGTTTTCCTATCATGTTTGGGACACTTTTATCTTTATTTGGTTAGTAATACTGAGCTATCAATACACTTTTTGACCTTTAAAGCACCATTATTTCATCAGTCTGACGTTCTTCATAGATGAAGGCTCGGGTCAGATGTACCACAATGACGGGGAGCTGTTTTCACTACCCACTACTCTACGAATTTTCAAAAGTGCGAAGTGCACATATGGACACTTATGTTGTGTTTTGCAATTTCAGATGAATTGAATTTTGGTCTCTGTTGCTATGGGAAACAAGTTAACTGGTAGTTATCAACTGGATAAAATTTTCCGGCTTCCTACAACGTTACATTTCGTGCTAGCGTAAAAGAACTTTCCTTTGATAATCTTTGCAAACTTTTGCGGTTCTAGGCGCCTGACTACTTGCTGATCTGGTGCAGATAACACTGGCCACCAGAATTCACCTTGAAGAATAACCAATGAAAGTTAAGTGGTCTCGGATAACAGTACCTTCATATTCCAAATGGGTTGCTTCCATGTGGGTCCGACAGATATATTTCAATAAAAAGTCTCAGTAGAAGGTAGGAACCACCGAAGAAAAGGACATTTTAACTCGAAGCGTTTTAGAAAGTGTATACAAAGAACAAAGCAACCGCTCACAATCCAGCTAGGATGCTGGGCGCAATGAATCAATAATTAAAATATAGATACATTGTTGCGAAAGATAATCCTCTACAATAATCAGTCCTCTGTACAAGGCTTCCTGGGTTTTCAGCACTGATGAGCTTCAGTCACATAAGGAAATTTTTGTATATTCACTGGTGACGAAAGGATACGTAGGTTAGTATTCGCACAATAAAAGAGAGAACATTTAATGTGCCAGAGCACTTCATAGATAAGATATCAGCTGGTTACGCCAGAAGGAAGAACACGCATTCTGGGATTGACAAGCACGAATAAGAACAAGAGGATAAGGATTTCCGTTTGTTGTTGGACGCGTCATCACAAACATAGAAGGTCGATTGGGTGGATCGCTAATTCATCAGCTACAGCTGTCTCATAGTGCTTGGTCGGATGATTTACAAACCAATTTAATTCTTCTATGCGGGATTAGTTACGAAAATGATAGAATCCAGATTGGTCTACGTAGTTCACTTTGTGGTATAGAATGACAATCGATCATTGTTTCGTTTAAATAAGTGCTTCATCTGTGCTCGGACAGAAACCATCCGTGGTTCAACATCTGGCTGATGAAAATTAATTACGTCCTAAAGCAAATTGCTTCAGCTATAAGTGCAGTTCTATAGATGTTTTAACCTATGTTTTCGGATCCTCTAGTAACAGTTTTTATACGCCTTCCGTTTGAAGGACTGCTTCTCATGAATTTGTAATGTGTCATCCTGGCAAATAAGAAGCGCAAGGATGACGTCACACTGAAAACTGCCTTAAAACAGGAACCTCCACCTAGGTGTCCCCGATTCATTTCTTATGCTGGATCCCTTCAAAAAAACGAATGAATCATTGGCCTTTCTGAAATCATAATCATAGAGCACAGGGGCTATATCGCAGACACATCAAGAGATTTGCTGGTGGAGCGGGTTATTGACGCATCCCTTACGGGTTAGAGTGATGTCTTGTCTAAATGAACAGTGTTGTGATCAGTAGTGAGCCAGTCTTTTATTGTTTCACTTTAAAGTATACATAGACATTTCTCTAAATTTGATTAACTGAGACTGTGGTGCCTTTTTATCACATTCATTATCGTGAAGTAAAAAACAACAACCACAATTGTCGACGCCATCATGATGCACACAGGGATGGCAGCATGTTTCATAACCAGATTTCATCAACCAGAAAAGCCTTGAATTCGTGACACTCAAAACGTAAAGACAAAGTGAATTGCACTTTACTTTCATCAACCAGAAAAGCCTTGAATTCGTGACACTCAAAACGTAAAGACAAAGTGAATTTGCACTTTACCATTTCGCCTTCAGAAATCCCTCCGCGCAGATCTTTCGCACAATGCTGCTGACAGCTGACATGAATTATTCGCTAAACTTCTGAAACAAAGGTTACAGTAATGACCGTTTCTACGTTTGCAAAGATGAATCGTTTCTGCAACTGCTTTGAGAATTGGTGGCTACATACTACCGACCTAACCTTTCGAAATTTTAAGTGCCTGTTTCACGAAAGGGTGAAATATTGGTGCATTCTTCCGTTTCAACTGAAAAAAACGCTCACAAACGCTGTTTGTTTCTTCATATAGCTTTGTGAACCATTTGGGGACGAAATGAAATGATTTTTTGGCATAGATGATTTGGATGAAGCTATTCCATCATATTAATTCATCCAGCTTGAGTTTATCACTACGAAGTCCCTTCGGCGGCAATTGCTTTAGTCATGTATTACGTCCGGATAGCGGACTGTTGTAGGTCGAATATCGTACCAGTCTGACTACGAGGTAGAATTTGGCAGCGGGTTCGATTGGAGCGAGAAATCGTAAAAGTGATATTCGGCTAGGTTCATTTGAATCCCTCGCTACAACCGAATGAATACGCAAATGACAACATTAATCTTCCACCAGTATTTTCTAAGATGTCCTGTAGTTGTTGGCCAAACAGGAATGCGAAGTCTATGGGCGTTAACATCAACCGTCACACATCAACTGCACTTAGCTCAAATTGTCTCAAATGGTAGTTATTTTTAGTAGAATAACGAAAGGGTGCCCTTCTCGTGACACAGCCGGTTGGAAAATGGTCGGTTATCAGATGGTTTCAACTTCACTTGGCACAATTTTCAAGATGAGTGCCCGTCCATCCACGTGTTCGGAGGCAAGCGAATTTAACCTGGCGACTGATGTGGACTAAGTCAAGTATACTTTCCGAAAGGCGCCTAACCGAAACTAATGCCCCCTCAGAGGACCACCACAGCTGTTTTTGGAGGTCATTCCGCAACCTCCATCTTTTAGTTATGCGGCTGTTTTAAGATAGATTAGCCCACACATTTAAAAAAAAACTACATAAAGAGCTAATTATAGTTATATACGTTTATAAATGAGCTATCGGTCATGATGGTAAGATAAGCGGACAAATGTAAAATATCACCAAATCTTACTGTGAGCTAGTTTGCAGTACGCAAAAATAGCACTATAAAGTACCATGGGCTTATCGCACTCGGAACGCTCAGAAAAAATATCACACACGCTTGTGTTTCGTATTTTTGGAGGCTCCTCAGGGATATGGTGCTTCGAATATTTATAGCATAACATTATTATGTTAAGTGAGGTTTAGCCGTTTTAAAATATTATTCGTCACTGAGTACATAAAAAGTTGAATGAGTCCTTCGCTATGAATACTATAATGGATCAAACATCA